ATGCCTATTAGTCTCACATTGTTCATCTTTGCATCATCTTGCAGCTCATGGATTATTCTTTCCTGCATCCTAGTTGTTTTTAAGAGATCCTTTCTTAGCTTTTCACTAGCTTCACCAGCGTCTTCTAGATCTGAAACTCTCTGTTCACTTTCACTTAAACGGTTTTGCAAGCTTGTGATTGAGGTTTTAATTTCCTCTATATCTCTTTGACTCTGCTTCATGTGATCTATTTGTTTCCTGTATTGCTCACTCAAGGGATCCGTCATTTTTCTAATCTCCTATATTTTTTTTTTCAATGTCTTCTTTAGAAGCAGTTAGAAATTCTTTTACTGCTATGTTTTTTTCAGATTGGGTTTCCTCCCCATGTTTCTGTAGTTGTTTCTTTACTTCACATGCTATGTGTTCTGAGAATTCTTTTTTTATTTCAGAAAAGTATTGCGCTCTGATTTCCTCTTTATCTTTCTGCTGTTGCTTATTTACTATCAACACTATTATTTCGTCCATTTGAGCCGAGCTAGTGTCCTCCACCCTTGTTCTGGGTGGGCACTGGGTTTCCTCTATATGTTTCTGCATTTGATTCTTTACTGCAGATGCTATTAATTCAGGGATTTATTTTTTATTTCCAATCTGAGTTCCTCTATACCTTTCTGCATCTGTTTCTTTATTTCAGAAGCCATTGATTCATTACTTTTTGCAGTGTGATTCCCAATTTGTTCTGTATTGGTGTCCTCTGCACTTTTTATGGGTGGTGTTGGGTTCTGAGGTTGCATTTTGTTCCTTCTCATCATTTTGTGTAGCACTGTCTTCTGACCTTTGTTGTAGATCTTCGTTGTAGTTATACCCTTAGCACGTACTGAAGTTTAGGTGCAGGTCTATAATTTGGATTTATCCACCTGTGCCTGGCTTGGGTCTGGCTGCTGTGCTCAGCTCCTTCCTGCTGTTGCCCTTGAGGGTGAACTTGTTGTGCCCCTGTGGCAAGATGTTCTGTTCCTGGACTATCTGGGTGGTTCTATCCTCTACACTCTCTGCAGGGAGTGTAGCTGCAGCGTTACACCCCAGGCATGTAAGCCAGGCCTGAGCTGAGCAGGGAGTGGACAAGGTGGAGTGGGGAGGAGAGGCAGCTCTCCCACACATTCACTGGGTCTGGGCTAGGACTGGGTCTGGTTGTTCCGGGAACTAGGTAGAAATTCCTACTGGGCGGGCCAGGTGGGGGATGTGCTGCGGCATGGTGGGGGCGT